AGCTCTCAGCTCATTACTAAATACGCAATGGATCAGTGAGTAATTTCGGATCAGGTCTTTCATTTTCCAAGCTTATATGCTATATATCGTTCGTTGTCTGTTGTGAAGTGAGCAAAGAAGATGATACAATGGAATGATAATGACGATAACCATTATAATTGACTTCATTGGATCAGAGAGAAATTTACGAGTTTGTTAAGTTATTGTAACTGCTGATCGTTTTGAAGATTCTGCCAAACAGAACTACAAATACGAATTTCGAACAAGTTTATGAAAGAACTCACCAAAAGTGAACCGCCACTGACTTTCTTGATACCAATCATATCAATTGGAAGACACTCATCCAAATGGCTAACCGCTTCGACAACCATTTCGGCGAAGAAATCACGTTCATGACTCACCTGTTACCACCAATTACTATTATTCAAAAAATATTCGTGACATCATAAACTAAGAAAATAACTAATTATAACTCGATTGTCCATGCTAACTCGATCGCAAGTCAGCTTGAATATTATGTGATTCAGATTCTGATCAGTCAGACTTAGGTTGAGGTTACCTCTTCTTCTTCTTGACCGATATCAGTTTCAAAAAACAACGACGGTAACGAAAACAATATCAAAAAGGATTCTTACCAATTTACTGCTGAGTGTCGTTGTGGCACAACGGATCAACATATCCCTCGTATCGCCACCCGCATTCACCTTTATCGATAACTCATCCAAGTATCTGAGAGCCTAAAAGAGAAATATAAACAGTCCAATATCAAAAAGGTGCTCATATCATCCAATTTACCAATGTCATCTCTGATAACGAAAATCAACCGGCCAATATCGTCTAATTTAAAATGATCCATCCCATCAACTGCGAATTGAAACATAGAACGAACCTCTTCACATGCCTTCGAATAAGCTCTTATGATCAGTTGAGGACTGACACCATCCTCAATGAATTCCTTCGAACGTTTCAACAATTCCGCCGCCAATATCACCACTGAATGCGATTAATCACATAAATGCGAATGAATCACCTCTTTATAAGATAATTCAAAACACAAAATAACACAACGATTTCATTATTTCATTATATTAATCGTGAAAATGAAAGAACGACTGGAAATTCTAAGGGAAATTCTACGGAGAATAAGTATACTTGAACTAATATTATCAAGACGAACCTGTTGTGGTGCCATCGCCAACTTCAGCATCTTGACTCTTCGCGATGTCAACCATAACTTGAGCAGCTGGGAACACCACATCAAGAAGTTTCAATATTGTTGCACCATCGTTTGAAATTGTTGTTTTGCCTTCAAAATTGCCAATATTCTTATAATCGTTATCCGTTATACTATCGACATAATTAAACTATATGAAATTATCATTAACATCACCACTGTTAACGTAAATGTTACTTGATTATTTAATATTTAAATCAAAATCTACATATATTACTCACAACCTCGTATCAATCACGCAAGCAATTGCACATTTAACAAGGAACATTCACAATTTTCACAAACATTCTCGTGTCTACAATTTTAGAAGATTCAAGAAAATGAATGGTAAATTCGCGAAAGCAAATCTGAAGAAGCAAACCTTTGGTATCAACGATAAGTTTGTCCATGCCCCGAGGGCCAAGCGTTGTACGAACACTGTCAGCGACCACACCACACGCGCCGATATTACTCAAAATCTGTTGTTTTCCGTATTTCGCTTCTGTCCCCTCTTTGAGGAAAATAATCGGTGCATTCATCATCATCTTGCAGTGTTCCACAAATCGAGCGATTACTCAGCTGAGATCAATAAGAGGTTATCTGGAAGGGTTCAAATATTTCACTAGCAATTTCCATCACTAGCATTTAATACTAACAACATTTAATACTCAATAATCACTAAGCAAATGGATAAACGATAAACGAACATTGAATTACAAATATAAATCAGTAACGGAATTTTGTGGGAAAGGCTGCCAATCTATTCAACTGAGAGGTATCACTCAATATAGCTGGCTCGATAAAAAGAAATGCCGAGGCTATTTCACCCAAAAATTTAAAGTTTTGACTGAATATTACACCGGACATCGGTATACTGCAAATACAATCCAGCAAGAAAGTTAAACACGACGCAATTTCAAAACATGACGAAATGAAACTAGATTAAACATCAACGGTTTTATCCACTTAAATGCACAGCTTTTCGAAATCTTTAAGTTCAAAAAACTTCAGCAGAAAAAAGACTAAGTTGGGAGCGTTGCGAGCGCAACGGAATGGATCATCAGCGGATTTCTGGACATCGACAGATCCGCTGACAATAAACCACGATCAGCTAGGCTCAAGTTCTGGTAATCCTGCAGTTTAGGTTAAGGAGAAAAGGGGTGTGGTCTAACAGGGCACATGCATGAAGACATTGTGCCACAGCTCTGTCCGCATATTAACAACTGCTTTATCGAACAAGAAGTATTTCAACTGAAATTACTACATTTTCAGTAAATAACAATAGGCATGCTCGCAGCTAATTGTGATGCATGCAACAAGAATTAAACCAATGATTAACATTAAACAAAAGCTGGATAGAGTTTGGATTCATACTACGAATACAATCAATTCACCTAGACTTAGGTTAGACACACTGGGAAGCAGTCATTTCTAGGG